ATTAATAACTACAAATTATATTAATTAGTAATTTTTAATTGCTATAAATTAATATTTAATAGTTAATATTTATTTTATAATTAATAATAATAATCAATAATTAATAATATTCATGCTATAATTAGAAAAAGTATCTAAAAACTCCTCATATGCTAGTTCAAATAGCTTATCAATAAGTTAGCTTATAAATTAGCTTATGTGCATCCAAAAAATTAATAAAAAAATAAACTAGCTTATGTTTGCCAAACAATGCCTTAATCTTTTGGGTCACAGTTGATTAGAAGTTCCATTTTTTTTTTAAATTTTAAATTCCTTAGGTAACATTTGGTTCACAAAATGGAATCTGTCGAAATTGGAATATGTCAAATATATGGAATCTAATGTAATTGAAATGAAATTTAATCATGTTTGACCATGTTTTTGGTTGGAGGAATTGAAATGAAATCTGTCAAAAAAAAATTGAATATGTCCGTTTGATTTGTTGAATATAAGAGCGGTGATTGTGTCAAGGCTGTAGTGGTAGCAGTGACGACAACAGTGGTGGTGAGGGTGAAGGTGACAGTGACAATTACGGTATCAATGACGATAACGATGACAACAGTGGTGGTGACGCTTGACAGTGACGATGATGATACCAAAAATAAAGTAAATATAGAAGTATAATAGTTTATGTTAAGAGATGGCACGGAGGAATTAAATATTTCACCGTATGTGAAATTTGAATTCCTTAACAGAACTCAAAAAAAGAATCAAATGTATGAAAGAAATGCAATCAAATTGACGATTTCAATTCCAACAAACCAAACATGAGATTATCTACGAGGATTTTCAAAAGGAATAATGATTATTGAATTCTTAAAACAATAAATTGAAATAATAAAACATGTTCTTCGTCCACTCGTTTGAGATGCTCTTACACCCGACTTAACTGCGTCTTTTCCTTTCCGTTTTCCGTTATGAGGATGTTTGAGATTGCTTATTTAAAATGCTTATTCTCTAAATCAAATTGTCTTTATAAATTTAGATAAATTAATTCAGATTAAGCATTAAGTTAAATAATAAGAAAAGCTGAATTACAAAAACGACATATTATTCTCAAGAATTTGTTTTTATTTAAATAATTGTCAGAACTTCGATAGAGACATTCAACATGTGGGAGATACCAAACAAATATGTCATATAAAGATCAGTACGTGCTCTTTAATTACCTCAACCGGCCACAAAGAGCCAAATAAGACGTTTTCAGCATTTAGGAACCCAATTTTTTTGGCTGGATGAATAATGAACGCAACACATGAGGATAACGCCTGACCACATTAAGCCAAATTAGTTGTTGGCTTGTTCATTAAGCTACAAACAAATGTGTACAGTATGGCTAAATAAATAAGCTTTTCGTACCAGTATAGTTAAGCTTGTTCATTCAGCATCTAGGAACCCTAAGAGACCAAACTTAGACCTTATGCAATTTTAAGACCTTTAGTCGATAGTATCCTTTCATCGTCATTGGTGCTCTGTCACTAGTGTCGTCATGCGTAATATTTGTATAACTATGGTATTTATATAACAAATAGGTTGGTTTGAGGTTCAGTATTTAATAGAGTTGATCATTTGCGGGCTTGGCCCAGACCCGGATCGAGTTTAACCTATTCAGTTTGTCCAACGGGCCTAATATTGTAAAACCAAGTCTGTTTTTACAGGCTTGAAAACTTACCCATACCCACCATATAAGTATAAACGGGTCGGGCTTGCCCACGGGCTAGCAGGTTTAAAAATCTTGTTATATTTTTATTAAAACAAAACTTATGTAAAATCACAAGTTATGTAAAGTAATTCAAAATACATAACAATTTTTCCAACTTAAAATTCGACGTAAATACATAACAATATACATGCTTTTAAAATAAATTGTTTCACTAAATATGAAGTATTAATAAGGAAAATGACTAATGAGATAATAACAAATTGATCAATTCAGCTAATCATATTTTCAAATTTAAGATTTTAAAAGAATGTTATTATCATGATTCATAATTAAGTAGGAATCGACAAATATTAAGAAATTTGTAAATTTTAATTATAAAAATGTTAATAGGCCTGGCGGCCCTATCCAAATATTTTTTTTCCATTGCCCAAGTCCGTCCATTAATTTTAACAAGTCAGTCAAAGTCTGTCATTTCTTCGAAAATAGTAATCCAAGCCCGCTTTTCTAACATGTCGGATAAGACAGGTCTAGTGGGTCATCCAGTCCGTGAACAACTCTAGTATTTAGTAAGAAAGGGTAAACTTTTAGCGTTGGTCAAAATAGGTTGGGTCAGACCGTGTTTATTTTTCAAAAAAGAAATCTTATTTTTTTAATTTCATAAAGAATTATCATATTAATTACATAAACTATTATTTAAAAAAAATAACGATTTTCATATTTTATAATAAAAAATTTAGCATTTTGTTTCGGGCTGATTGTATTTTTGGCAACTTCCTTTGAGTTTTGTTTCCCATTTTTTTTGTCTTATTAATAAAATATTTTTTTAATTCTGAAAATATTTTCAAAATTGGAAGGTTACAGTTTATTTAGTGGAGTTTCAAAATGGTCAAATATTATCTACGTCTTAATTCATTTCTGTTTGGGATAAGCATTATTAGAAATTAAGTTTATAAAACGTCAAAAAAAAATTATATAGGCTATTTTATATGACTTAATTAATAAGACCAAAAAATAATGTGTCATATTTAAAGGTGTTGTAACAAGTTTATAAAATATTTTTGGACATCTTAACAAGTTTTTTAAGACACTTTTAATATAAAGTGTCCCATGAGTAATGTTTATAGGACACTATTTGAAAAAGTGTTTATAAAAAGTTGAGTTTATAAGACACTTTCTAAAAATGTGCTATAAGATTGCTAATGCGACACTTTCCATTAAAAGTGTCGTAGAAACCTTGTTGAAACGCCAAAAAATGTTCTACAAACTTATTATAATGTCTTTAGGATTCTTTAATTTTTGATCATATAAATTAAGTTGTATAACACTGTTTATTATGACGTCTAGAAACTAATCATGTCCTATACACCCAGTTTTGTTATAGTGAAGCTTTAATTCTCATGGCCAAAATTTTAGTTTTCAGACAGTTTACTGGTGTCAGGGTCGGACCCACAAATTTTTTCAAACGATGGCACCATTTGACCATAAGAAAAAACTATAGGGCCACCATTTGACTATAATGAAACAAATATACGAAAAAAATTTCAATTGATGGCACCGTTTGACTATAAGAAACAAATATACAAAAAAAAAATTCAATCGATGGCACCATTTGAATAAGAAGATGACATTAACACGATTCGAACTTGGATATGGGGTGAAATAAAGGTTTTGCAAACCAACTCTACCAAATAAAGTTTGTTCTCATTGTAGTTTCAAAATACATACGGTGACACACAACAGATTAATACGATTGCTCCTTTCATGAACCTAAAAAATTTTACTCTTCGACGAATGAATAATACGGTAATACATGTCACCTATACTATCAAAATAGGTCCGTTCCTGACTGATGTTATGCTTTATCCAATTTTTTGTCGATTACTAATAATAATTCTAAAATTCCATAAATCAATTATGTGGTATTTGAACAATTGGGCCCACTTAATTCTCGAAATCCACTTAATTTTTGTATTTTCTTTAATTACATATTTAAACCCAAATTCATCCATCGTACAACCAATGCAATCCAATAAATTGAAATATTTATGAAAATAATGAGAGTTCATTTATTATGATTTAAATATTTATGGAAGGTGAACACGGTTCATTAATTATGATCAATACTTTATATTAGAAAACAATCAAAACTTTTATGAAATTACATATTCATCAAACTAAAAATGGACGGTTGAGATTGAGTTGTATTGGTTGTACAAATAGTAGAGGTTGTATAATAACCCACCTCTATACATGTATTCTTATAATTATATCAAATTATTTACGGTAGAGGTTGTATAATAATTCATCTCTATACCTGAATTCTTATAATTATATCAAATTATTTATATCTATTTAAATGAAACTATTTTTGTATTAAAATTATTAAATATAGATAAAGTTATACATTGTATCTATATCATATAAGAAATTTATAT